CCGCTCCGCTCCGCTCCGCTCACATGCTCTGTGGTATACCATGATAATGATAATGTTCTGAATAAATCCTGCCTCCACAGAATACCTTCAGCAGGGTTTTCCTCTTCCAGCCATTGGTAGAATGAACCTCATCAACAGCAAGCTGCAAGTCCAGAAGGTAAGACTAGTCGCGTCCCTGTACAGTTTTATAACCTGACAAATGCTCTATGCTGAAGTTACATCTCTGCAGCTCATTGTTTCATGCAGTTATTTCATAGATATGGAAGCTGAAGCCCTTAACCTTCCATTCTGCTTTACAAGTCAACTCTATTTGCCTCACTGCTCCAGGACTACATGCTGATTGGAACAGACGTTCATTTCACACAGTGATGTCCTCACGCCCCATGACTGGAGATGTGTATCTTTGCTGATTTCCTAACGGCTGACAACAGAAAGACAATTATATAGCAATGTATAAATGTTGTTAAGTTTTCTCCATTTGTCGTTTGTAAGAGAGTATTGCAAGAGGAGAATTTGAAAGTTTTTTTTTTTTACTTTATTCCAATGATTTCTTATTAATCTTGAATATTGCAGTTCTCATGTGTCTTGTTTTTCCTCCATACTGCATATAAATGCATTTATATATTTTCAAAAGATAGGTAAATAACATTTAGTACTTCCTTATGCCTGGCTGCAATAAATGTCATGTTTGATCTTCTAAAAAAAGACACATACAATAAGTATACAATACAAATATACATATGCAATATATATAGAATACAAACAAAACTTCAAAAATTGCTAAATTTAACAAAATTGCTAAAATTTCTGAAGTCCTTTTTTGATTTTCTTATTATGTACTGTGTATACATTAATGACATAAAAAAAAATTAACTTTAGCATAAAGGTGCAACATAAAATATGAAAAGTGGTCTGAATAGTGTATATCCTGAATAGTGTATATCCTGAATAATGTACATTCTGAATAGTATACACCATGAATTGTGTATATCCTGAATAGTGTACATTCTGAATAGTGTACATTCTGAATAGTGTACATCCTGAATAGTGTACATTCTGAATAGTGTACATTCTGAATAGTGTATATCCTGAAGCTTGTGTACAGCCCCATTACCAAAAATGCTAGACTGACTTGCCTGCATTTGAGACTTGTCACCCAATGAAAACATTTGGCACATCATGAAATATGACAAAGGGGACCCCGAACTCTTGAGCAGTTGAAACCCTGTATGAGGTAAGAATGGGACAACATTTCATTTTCAAAACTGCAGCAACTGGTCTTCTCATTTCCCAAACGCTTACAGAGTGCTGTTAAAAGGAGTGGTGATGCAACATGTCACTACAGAACTCTCGGGAATGGTTCAACAGTCCTTTATTGGGGTAAACCAGAAGGAAGTCCAAATAACCAGCAGGGTCAATACCAAAATCCGTCTGATCCGAAATACCAAAGCCGAAGGGGAATAGTTGTCAGGTCAGGTTCCATAAGGTCATAGATCCAGGAGGTCCATCCGAGGACGCAGACAGGGCACACAGGGAGAAACCACGAAGGAAGATCAGGGCTGGGGCGGACCGGAGTGGGACGGGTCCAGAGGCGCAGGAAGCGGGAGCAGGGAGAGTCGGGCGGATCGGAGCTGGAAAAAAGACACAGGAGAAAGTTGCGCTGGAATTTGCATTCTACAATACCTAGCACGGGGCGATCGTCATGCGGGGTTTAAGTAGTGAAAGTAGGCATGGTGTAGCAAAGGGGGGTGTGGCTTCGATCGCTCGCAGCCGCTGGTGACACAGCACAGCGGTAAACATGCCCATCTCCACTTTTTTGAAACATGTTGCTGGCATCAAATTCAAATTGAACATATTTTTGTCATAAAACTAAATTTCTCAGTTTCAGCATTTGATATGTTGTCAATTAATTATGGGTTTACATGATTTGCAGATCACTGCACTCTGTTTTTATCTACATTTTACACATCGTCCCACTTTTTTTGGAAACATGGTTGTATTAGGGCTCACAAAAATCGCTAGCCCCACTTTTGGGGACAATCAAGTTTTCCCATCGGGCTAGCAAAACCTAAGAATACCCAGCCCAAGGGGCTATCAGAAATTATCTCCAAAGCAAAATAAAATTCCCTCCTTTATTTGCCTTTCTGTTTGGAGGAAAATCTTTCACTGTCGAGCTGTTGATCACGATGATGTCCATTAGGAAGTGTACGCTTAAAACCTGAGGGTAGCAATTTATTATCGGCTTGCGCTGCCATCTTGGTGCATTTTCAGTTATAGTAAGAATACTCTGAACGCATTAAAGCAAGCAAGTACAGCTTTATTATCACACCAGTCATCTGCCCGGGCAAGCTGATCGAGAAACTGACAGACCTCGGCGTCCCAACTCCAACCTGTATTTGGATTCTGGACTTCCTGACAGATAGACCACAGGTGGTGAGAATTGGAGGACTCAAGTCTGCTGGGCTTACAGTCAGCACTGGATCCCCACAGGGGTGCTGCCTCAGTCCAAAACTCTTCACCCTGTACACTTATTACTGTGTCTCCACCCAGGACAACTCCATCGTCATTAAATACGCTGACGACACCACCATCCTGGGGCTCATCAAGGGGGGGGATGAGTCTGGGTACAGGACCCTGGTAAATAACATTCTTGTCTATGGAGAGGAGAATGACCTCGTCCTCAATATAGACAAGACCAAGGAAATAATACTGGACTTCAGGAAGAATCCTCCCCCTCTACAGCCTCTTACCATCAAAGGGACTGAGGTAGAGAGGGTTAGGGTTAGGTTACATCAGACCTGAGCTGGACTCTTAACATCACAGCCACAGTGAAAAAAGCCCAGCAAAGGCTTTATCTCATTAGGCTGCTCAGGAAAGCCGGCCTGAACCATCGCCCTCTCACTCAGGCCTACAGAGGACTGATAGAGAGCATCCTCACCGCAGGCATCACTGTCTGGTACGGGAACACCACACAGGCAGAGAGGAAGGCTCTGCAAAGATTCATAAAGACTGCAGAGGGAATCAGAGGGACAAAACTCCCTTCCATGGACTCTATGTGCGCACAGCGCTGTTGGAGAAGAGCAGAGGGAATTATCAGGGACTCACTCCATCCGGCTCACTCTCTGCTCAGACACAAAAACTGTACGTACAATCTGAGACTCAGCAGAGAGGACAGCATCATTGTCACACCCCGATCGTATTGTCGTGGAGTTCCGTGCCGTGTTTTGCCTGTAATGCCCCTCCATTTCCCGATTAAACCCTTTTATTTTACCCCTATCCTGCTCTCATTTGCCTGCGTCCCTAGTCCGTGTTCTGCACGCCGTGACAGAATGACAGAACTCGAAAAGAAGAAACCTCGGATGTCGGAAGAGGAATACCTCAGCTTGACCGACAAGGTAATGCATTGGCTCGATCAGCCCGAAGTCTGGGATGATTCCCTGCTTCGGGCTCTAGCCTACCGCTGCAGGGATATTCTGGAAGAGATGTCCCTGCCCGGAGATGCGCACCTAACTGGGGAGGTGCGCGAAAATCTGAGGCGGCTGAGACGTGAGGTGGCGGAAGCTAAATTAAAACAGGAAGCCGCCGCCCTTGGATTGGCTTACGGTCAGCTGTCGGAGCTGCCAGAGGTGCCCGCAACAACGGCAAAAGTGGCAAGCAGAAAGAAGCGGAAAAAACGGAGACAGGAAGATGCGCAGGAGGTCTCCCTTAGGGCTTTGTATCTCTCTGCTGCTTTCTCGGTTGGGTGTCAGGAGGACCCCCTCCCGATTCTGAGCCCGGCGGTGTTTGCACCGGAAATGTGCGCGCCTTTTGGGGGGGGGGTTCTGTCACACCCTGATCGTGCCGCTCCTCCTGTGCCACGCCCCCCTCGTTAATCTCATGTCGATTCCCAGTGTTTTACAGCTGTTTCCAATTGTCTGTATTAGTTCAATGTATTTAAGTCCACGTCAGAGTTTGTTTCCCTAGTTCTGTCATTGTATTGTCGTGAAGTTCCGTGCCGTGTTTTGCCTGTAATGCCCCTCCGTTTCCCGATTAAACCCTTTTATTTTACCCCTTTTATTTTACTGCAAATATTTGCAGTATTTATTGTATTTAAGCAATACTTATTGTATTTAAAATTTCTTTCATAGTTCTTGATTAGTACTTGAATTTAAAATGTCTTTCCTTGTGTAGATATTACCATCTTTTTTTGTATTTAAGTGTTCTACTAACTTGACTCTGAGAGAGCTCTGCACAGGAGTTCCAATGTGCCTGGAATGTTGGTTGTATGCACAAATGGCAAATAAAAATCTTGTATCTCATACACTGCATATGGTGGTGCAATATAATGTTATATAAACATTATATAAAACCAAATTAAAAGCAAATGATATAAAGAGAAAATGGATATTACTGACCCACAAACCTAAATAGGATAAGTGGTTAAAGAAAATGGATGGATGGATATTACTTGATTGGATCCATACACAACGAAAACAAAATGGTTGTGATTTGCCCACTATCCGTTATGAGGATATCCTTAATTGTCTGTTTTTTTCACTTTGTCTCAGAAGGGGGCGCCATGCTGTCGTGATGTGTGAGGAGATGTACGGGGTCGAAGACGCTGCCAGGTTAGCACAGTGCGACCAAAAAAAAACATTGTAGGTGATGTGGCAGCAAGAAGATGGATCTATGTCATTCAAAATGTGCAGATTGTTAGTAGGGCTGGCAATTTTAATTGTTTTTTTAGATGTGATTATTTTTTGTATTATCAAAAAATGATGTTATGATATGTATATTCAGTATAGAAATTAAATTCTGTTGGGAATGAATGCAGCAAAAACAAAAAAAAAACAAATGCAACTAACTCTGCAAGCCATTTTTGAATGACTAATGCGGAAGAGTTGCTAATCCAGAATGCAGACGCATTACAAGATTGTAGAAAGTGGACTTCCAGACTGATAGAATTGCAAGGTCCAATGTTACATCCTCCATTGTTTTTCTGTCTGAGCTGTGTACCATTCATGTGTCTGATGGTAGTGGGCTGGATGTCTTGGGTGTTTCTCAGTAAGGTAGTTGACTGTATTTGGTTTGTCGTATACCCATTTTATGTCCTCTTCCATTGCTGAAGACCAGTTCCAATACTAAGAACAGAAGTACAGAGAATGGTAAAAATCCCCGGATGTCATCACTTCCGGGTCCCAAAGAGAGATTTAAGGGCTGTGTGTCTGTTTTTCTTTCACTTCCTCCTGTATCAGCTCCAGGTAATGAAGAGCAGACTTAACTCATTCTGGGAATAATTTCATAAGGTAACCAAAAAAGAAAGTAACACTTCTTTTTATTTAGTGTATTAGTTTTACACCGCTGTAGGCTGGGGACACTGGGCAAACTGTTTTATTTACATACTGCCATGTATGACTAACATTGTATGTCACATTATATTCCTGCTTTTTCAAATGTTTTCTCTTGTATTTTTGCAACTGTTATG